CTCACCTCTCTCTCTCTCCCTCTCTCTCCTTCTTCTTCTTCTTCTTCTCTCTCTCTCTCCCTCTCTTTCCTTCTCCATCTTCTCTCTCTCTCTCTCTCCCTCTCTTTCCTCCTCCTCCTCCTTCTCCTTCTTTTTCTTCTTCTTCTTCTTCTTCTTCTTCTTCTTCTTCTTCTCTCTCAAAGTTCGGCGACCCCCTTTCCATTAATTATCACCTGTGGTCTGATAAAATATTTGCTGTCTATATCAGTTACATGTATTATTTTATTTTGTTTTTACTTATTAAACCAATTGATTATTAAACCAAATTCGAGAAAGAAAAGTTTTATTTATGATCTATTACTTATTAAACCAAATTCGAGAAAGAAAATCTCTTAATCCGGATTTATACTTATATTTTCGTATTTTGGCAACGGCACTCGAACGCCATTGTCTCTGTGGGGCTGGCTGTGTGTGTTCAAGACCCACGAATATTTACGGCTGTTGCGCTGTGTCTAAAAGCAAGATATGACGATGAGGAAATAGGAGACTAGAATACATTAACGCTGATGAATATTTGGCTTATATATTCAATGGGGTGTTTCCGCTGCGTGTTGACGGGGGTTGTGTAGTCGATTTTGTTCTTCGTTAAATCCGGCTTGCATTTTCGAGAAAACAAGCGGAGAATATCGACCTTTTTGGTATTTTTTTTACCTTCAGTGACAATGATTGGGAGGGAGGGGAAGAGAGCAGGTATGAATTCGTGTAATGATAGCGATTAAAACTAATTGTAATTAGACTTGAGTGCACATGATGAAGGGCAAGAAATAATGACTTTTTTTTAACGATAACCCCCCCTTCCCCCATCTCCCTCCCCCCCTCCCCCAAATTAAAAAGACCGAAACGATATATAAAAAAGAGAACAAATCCTTCAACCGAACTATATGATAGTGAGAAATATCTTATTCTTTTTTTACGTTTTTATTTTCGTTCACGCACCATTACGCCATTAAGGTAATAAGAAAATACAAGTAACCCCGGCCACTCCCCCATGTAAACAACGCAGTGTTACCAGATCCCACGAGAGGAGGGGATACCACGCTGCCACCAGAAAAAAAAAAATCAAATGTTACCAAAACTCTCCGTTAAGATGACGCTGAGAGACACATTCCCTCGCTCGTATACATCTTTCTCATCTTTCGTAAATATTTCCAATTCTCCGAGACAATTTGGGCGATTGCTAAAGCCGTGAAATGAGTTATTTGTCGCATACGAGGAGATGCACTGCAGACTCCCGCGTTGGTGGGGCTTCCAATCAGTCAGTGTCACGCAGGAGGCAGAAGGAGAAGGTTGTTTGTTTCTTTGCTCGACTACCGTGGTACTTTAAAGGGAAAACATTTGTTTGTCCTTTTTATTCATGTGTGTTGTGTGTTGCGTGTGCGTGTGCGTGTGTGTGTGTGTGTGTGTGTGTGTGTGTGTGTGTGTGTGCGTGTGTACGTGTGTGTGTGTGTGTATAAGCGTGTGTGCGAGTTGTTATTGTTTTTGTTTTATATATTTGTCATTATCATTGTTATTTTGTTGTTATTATTACAGCTATTATTATTATTGTTATTATCATTAACAGTATTGCTATTATTATGATTATTTATCACTGCTGTCATAACGATTATCATTTTCGTTTGGAGAGAGCAAAGTGGATAGAAAAAGTAACATTGTTATTATTTTCATATGTAATTTTGCAGAAAAACGAAATTATAGCGAAATATGTTTGTATGTTGTCTGTATGTGTGTGTGTGTATGTACATGTGAGTGCATGTTTCTACGTATAGGTAAGTGAGTGTCTATTTATGCATGTGTGTGTCTTTGGGAATATATATACACGTGTGTGTGTGTGTGTATGTGTACGCAGGAAATATATTACACAGTGTTGGCAATAGTTCGGCGAATCAGCTGATTGGCCGTTATTATTATCCTGAAATATTTGGGCCAATATTATTTTTTTTACTGATAATTGTCTGACTTCCAATGCCAGCAATGGAATGAGGGCGTAGAGCTCAACTAATTGAAAGAAACGAGTATATTAATGTCTGTGCGGAAATAGTGTGTGTCTGTTTGATTGTATGTGTTTTTGCGTGTGTGTGTGTGTGTGTGTGTGTGTGTGTGTGTGTGTGTGTGTGTGTGTGTGTGTGTGTGTGTGTGTGTTGTGTGTTGTGTGTTGTGTGTGTGAGTGAATTTGTGAGTGTGTGTATGTGTGTGTGTGTGCATTTGTGTGTGTGTGTGTTTACGTGTGTTTACGTGTACACGCACGTCCATACGTCCATCCGTATATACGTGAACATACACACATAATCATATATGCTTATATACTCTGCTTTACAAATAAAGCTAAATATTCTCTCTGTCCCATCCCTCTAGCCCCGCCCCCAAGATGCGTCTTTGACCACGCCCCCTACGAGCTACGACCAGCGACCACGCCCCCCTTTCCTCCCACTCTAAACTCCTCCTCTCTCTCTCTCTCCCGCAGGTCCACCAGGATGTTGCAGGACAGCGAGATGCCCGGGTTCTTCAAGGACTACTTCAGGGTCATCCGGAAGTCGGTCTCCAACGACGAGTTCAACCAGTTCTCGAAGCTCAAGACGGACGCCGAGCGAGTCAGGTTCATCTTCAACCTTCCCGCCGCGCACGAGATTGACATCCAGACTTTTTACAAGGGCAAATCCGAGAAAGAGGCCATGGAAAAGAAGGAGGCTGGAAACAAGCTCTTTGGGAGAAAGAAAAATATGGAGGCACTTAAATTATACAGCCAGGCGGTGGTACATGCACCTGTGCCGACGGGTAAATATTGGAGGTTAATCAGTTGAGTAACCCTCCCGGCCGTGCGCCATGTTGTCACACCCAAACTAACGTTCGTCGTTGTGGCGAATCCGACCCCATGAATCCGGTCCCTAGACGAACGCGTTGCGCTCCCGAGGTCGCACAGAGGAAACTGGTGTTATTCGCACATTACACTTGTCCGAATTTGTGTCTGTGGCTCTTAGGTCACGTGTTTTTATTCACTATACACTGTATATATGTACATATAGATCTATATGTGTGTGTGTTGTGTGTCTATATATATATATATATATATATATATATATATTATATATATATATATATATATAATTATATATATAATATATATATTATATATATGTATGTATATATAGATAGATAGATAGAATGAGATAGATGTTTATATACAAATATATATAAAGACATACACACACATATATGTGTGTGTGTGTTTAAGAGCGAGAGAAAGAGATAAACAGACAGGTAGACATAAAAAGATGAATACAGATGAATAGAAAGACAAAGAAAGAGTGAGATGGAAAGTCACAAACATAACCACAAAATCTAAGAATAGAGAAGAAAAAAGATAAAACGCATTCAGTTACACACTCACCGCACATGCATGCAACAAGCATTCATTCAATCAACAAAGACAACCCCCCCCCCCCCTTTCAAATAATAACAATACATTAATAACTATCATAATAAAACACTCTCCCTCTAACAACCAATTCTAACCAACTCCCTCTTTTTGGGTCGTTTGTGCACCTCTAAACCCCTAACACACAGACTGCCTGTTATATGAGCGTTGGGCAGTGTGTTAAGTGTCCCTGGCGAGCTGTGTCTCCGATCTCAGACCCTGAGGGAGGGAAGCACAGGGGCTTGGTGTTCCCGGTGGCTTGGAAACGGTTCATTACTTATGGCATGTTCAAGCTTCGATCTGTGCTTATTCCTTTTTTTTTTTTTTTTTTTTTTTTTTTTTTGCGTGATGTGTGTTTGTACGTATATGTTTGTATGTTTTGGTATGTATATATGTGTGTATACATACATATACATATCTATTTGTATATACATACATACAACCACGTATCCATGGCATTATTGAATTTACCTAATTTCTATTCTTGTAGTGACTAAAACAAGAAGGATGTAAGTAATCACGAGTATATATATACATATATAAGTGTGTGTGTAAGTCTTTTTCACTAAGAAACTCGTGCTTCTTAAATCCCTTCTATTCCTACTTTTATTTTTACTTTTACACTTATTGTCTTGTAGTCAATCACTATCGTAGAATTTTATAGTAGTAGTAATTTTCATTCTTTTTCTTTTGTAGTCATAGTAGATGCCATATTTCCATTTTTTTCTTCTTCTTTGCCTTTGTAGAATCGATGGCTCTTGTAGTAGCATGGCAATTATGGCTTTCAAAAATATGGCTTAATATTCACATGCGATGGTTAAATACTTCTGTCTGGTTAACTAAACGGTTAATGCAAAATCTAATTTGATAATGTACAGACACTGCTTTGAAGTCATACATAGACACGTCTGCACACACGTCTGCACAATCAGATACGATCACACATACACACGCACAAGTAAACAAACAAACACACACACACACACAAAGCACACACACACACACACACACACACACACACACACACACACACACACACACACACACACACACACACACACACACACACACACACACACACACACACCCACACCCACACAAGTACACATAAACACACACACACACACACACACACACACACACACACACCACACACACACACACACACACACACATACATAAACACCACACAAGTACACATCACACACACACACACAAACTCTCACGCACACCTACAAAAAAAAAAAAAAAAAAAAAACTATAAAACCTCAAATAAAAACAATAAAAAAAACATAAAATAGAAATCCAACACTCACACACCATCAGACATCCCCCAGAAGCACGGTAGCCACCCCTAGGGCCGTACGAGCACCCACTAACACCCCTCCCCTGGATCATTCCCTTACAGAGGAATGCGCTGACCCCAAAAAGATGACCTTGTATGCCATCTGCCTCGCCAACCGGTCAGCGGCGCTTTTCCACCTGAAGGAGTTCTACTACTGTATCAAGGACATTGACGAAGCGCTGGAACACCATTATCCCAGGGTGAGTTGGAGGATGTGTGGGTTAGGAGGAGGAGGAGGAGGGGGTGGAGGAAGATAAGAAGGAAGAGGAGGAGGAGGAGATGGAGGAGCTGTAGGTAGAGGAAGATGTGAAGGAAGAGGAAGAAGTGTATGAGGAGGAGAGGAGGGCTGTAGGAGGAAGAAGATGAGAAGATAGAGGAGGAGGAGGAGGAAGAGGAGAGTAGGTGGAGGAAGAGGAGAAGGAAGAGTAGAGGAGGAGAGGAGGGGCTGTAGTGGAGAAGAAGATGAGAAGATAGAGGAGGAGGAGGAGGAGAGGAAGATGAGAAGGAAGAGGAGCTGTAGGTGGAGGAAGATGAGAAGGAAGAGGAGGAGAGGAAGAGGAGCTGTATGAGGAGGAGGTGTAGGTGGAGGAAGAAGATGAAAGAAGAGGAAGAGGAGCTGTATGAGGAGGAGGAAAAGGAGCTGTATGAGGAGGAGGAGGAGAGCCTGAAGCCTCCATCTCAAAGGGTGGTCTTGTCAGTAAGGTTTTCCATCGGGATTCACGAAGAATTGCTCACCAACAGCTGTGGTTGGAGTCGCGGGCGAAAGGGAGGCTAAAAAGTCCTCTTGTCTCGTGAATTTTGCATTTGCTGAAAGATTGATGTTTTGAGAATTCGCATCAATTTTCTTTTCTATCTTTTTCTTGTTTCTCTCTCTCTCTCTCTCTCTCTCTCTTTTTTTTTTTTTTTTTTTTTTGAGGGAGGTCGTTAATCTTTTTTCATGTTCTTAGTGTCTTTGTTGCATTCTTGTGATATCGAAATTTTCTTTTAGTCTTATTTTTATTATTATTATTATCATCCTTTTTTTTTTTTTTTTTTTTTTTTTTTTTTTTTTTTCTTTGGTACATTTTTTGTTACCATTCTTTTGATATAAATTTTATCTTCTCCAATAGAGCTGTTGCATTCTTCTGCTATCGCAACGGGTTTGAATTCTTTAAAAATAAAATATAATGATGATGAGGAGGAGGAGAAACAATGATATTAATTATAATAATAATGGAATGATAATAATAACGATAATAATGATAAAATGATATAGATTTTATCTTCTCCAATATAGCTGTTGCATTCTTCTGCTATCGCAATGGGTTTGGATTCATTAAAGTGCAAAATTTGTGGTTATTAAGGATCCAATGCAATATTTCCCCTATTGCACCTTTTCTCAATATTGAAGGATCAAGAAGATTTCATAGAAGGAGGGGGAGTGGAGGGTAAAGGAGGGCATGGGAGAAGAAAAAAATATAAAATCTCCTTGATTTTTTTCTTCTCAAGTCTTTAGATATGTTAATATATGTTGTTTGTTTTTAGAGATTGAGTTCTGAGTGTTTTGCTTTTACAGTTTTTGGAAACGAGAAAGATAGATGAGGACGAGGAGGAGGAGGAGGAGGAGAAAGGTGGTGATAATAATCATAATAATAATAATAATAATAATATTGACGATAATAATCACAATAATTATGATAATGAAACGCTAAAGATAATGATACTAATGATAATAATCATACAATAAAATAATGATTGTAAAAATATTCACAATGATGTTAACAATAGTAACACTACTACTACTACTACTAGTAATAGTAATACAAATGATAACAATAATATTAGTAATAGTAATAATAGTAGCGATAGTAACAACAGCAGCAGCAACAGTATTAGTAGTAGTAGTAAATAGTGATTATGATGATAATAATAATAATTATATTATAATGATGAAATGATAAAAATTAATAAATAGTATTGATAAGAATAGGAGTACGAATGATGATGATAATGATAATAATAATAATAATAATAATAATGATAATAATAATAATAATATAATAATAATATAATAATGATAATAATATAATAATAATAATAATAATAATAATAATAATAATAATAATAATAATAACAATAACAACACTAATAAATAATAATAAACAACACCGCGCCACCGACTCTCACCCCCCCCCCCCCCCCCGAGGCACCCAACCCCCTCATCCCTCATCCATCTGCCCGCAGGAACTCAAGCACAAATTGTACAAGCGGAAGGGTCGACTGCTCGTCAACATGCGGCAGTACGTGGATGCTCGGGAGGCCTATCGACAGGCCCTCAAGTGGTTAGACTGGGCCAAGGTCGAGCGGGAGAAGAGAATCGACCTGCAGGGCGATGTGCAAAAATGGCTGAAGATGTTCGAGGGTTCGAAAAACTTGGTGAATCATGGTGAGTCTTTTTTTTTTTTGTTTTTTGGCTCATATGTTTTTATGTGTATTCTCTCTCTCTCTCTCTCTCTCTATCTATTTCTATCTATCTATCTATCTATCTATCTATCTCTTTTATAAAGGTTCTCATCCCCAACAGAAAATGCAAATCCCCTGAGTCCTGTTCCTTATTTTCCCGTTTCTTTTCCTTCTCTTTCTTCTTTTTTTTATAACGGTTCTCATCCCCAACAGAAAACGCAAAACCCCAGAGTCGTTTCCTATTTCCCATTTTCTCTCATTA